CAGCTGCTTCAGGTCGTAGAAGAGGTGCGAATCGTCCTTAGTCAAGAAGGAAATGGCCTTACCATGCTTACCAGCACGACCCGTCCTACCGATTCTGTGGGTGTAATCTTCAATGTTCTTGGCCATGTCGTAGTTGATGACCAACGACACGTCCTTGATATCGATACCTCGACCGGCGACGTCCGTTGCCACGAGGATATCCTTGGCACCGGACTTGAGGTTGGCCAAGGCGTGCTCACGCTGCTCCTGTCCCTTTCCTCCGTGGAGCGTGGTCGCGTTGTAGCCCAGCTTCTCCAGACCTCGAGCTAAGACGTCCGCGCCCTTCTTCTGGTTGACGAAAATCAGCACTGGAGGAGTAATGCCGCGCTTCAGGATGTCCAGCAGCTTCTTGCGCTTCTCCTGTTCGCTGACCATGTAGACTATCTGTTCCACACGCTCCACAGGCTTGCCAACCGAACCGATGTATACGTACGCCGGTCGACGCAGGTACTGCCTTGCCATCCTCTCTACTGCGGGAGGCATAGTAGCGGTAAACATGACAGTTTGTCTGTATTTGTGCTTTGAGAGGAAATTCTGTAGCAACTTATCCTCGTCTTCTGCATCGTCGTTATCTGGTTTCTCGTTGGTAACTGGCATGAATTTAAGAATTTTCTGAACGTCTGGCTCGAAACCCATGTCAATCATTTTGTCGGCCTCATCAAACACAACATATGTACACTGGTTCAGCACGAGATACCTGTTTTCTAGCACGTCCACGAGACGACCTGGCGTGGCGATAACAATCTCACAACCCATTCGCAACTTCATGCCCTGCTCTTCTCGAGACAGACCACCAATGACAGCAACAGTACGTATACCCAGAGGTCCACCAAACTTTGTGGTTTCCTCTTCAATCTGCTGCGCCAACTCACGTGTTGGGGCCATAACCAGGGCGTACGGACCTTGATCTGCATCCTCCAGGCGAGCAATCTTCGGCAGTGATTGAATCCATTCCAGGAGAGGAATTAGGAAGGCTAAAGTCTTACCCGAACCCGTCTCGGCCACACCAATGATATCTCGATTCTGCAGACCGATGGGGATGGCCTGTCGCTGAATGGGCGTCGGATCTGTGTACCCTACACTAGAAATAATATCCAGGATTTCTTTCTTGATGTTGGATTCGGACCATTTTCTGATGGGGTTGGGAATTCGGCCACCTTTAATAGCAATATTGTAATCCTCCCTGAAAATACGCCAATCTCGTTCCGTCATCTGTTCTGGGACTTTCTCGCTCCAGTGACGGTCATCCCATCTCTTCTTATCTTCCTTCTTCTGCTCCTTCTTCATGCGAATTATCTCCTGGTCCTTGTCGGCCTGAGTGCGCCGATGCTCGATGTAATTCCCGTAGAACTTCGACTGGACCTTCTTCTGCTCCTTCAGATCCAGCCCTCCGAAGTGTCCCCGCCCGAAAAAGTGCACGAGATGTTTGTTGATATAAAGCTCATTGTAGTCTACCGACGTGTCCTCGCCGGCATCCCAGTCGAAGACAAACTTACGGTCGTTCAGCCTGCGGACCTTCTTCTTCTTCTTGACAATGCCCAAGTACCTCTCGTTGACCGCGTCCCTCTCCAGCTGCTTCTTCTTCTCCAACTCCAGGTCTTCCTTGTTCTCTCGGGGTTCACGATCCCTCCTGTGGCGGTCACGTTCCCGGGGGTCTTCCTGTCGGAGGGCCTGCTCAAGCTCGCGCCGCCCTTCTTGGTACATCTGCTCGCGACTCTTCCGCTCATCATCCTGTCTCTTCCGCATCTCCTCAACCTGGCAAGGAATTGGGACAATAAAGCTCTGATGACTGGCAGTGTAAACTTCACAAATACCAACATGGAAAGTAGTAATGATACTAGATCTTTTACTCAATCCTTGGAGAACTACTATAGAAGAAATAGATATACAAGACAAAAAGGAAGACATACAAGAAAAGGGCAAAAAAGAAAAAAAAAGAGAGAAAGAAGCTAGAAGAAGAAGAAAAACAAGACATAGAAGAAAAAAAGGCAAGAAAAAAGGAAGAAAACAAATTCAAGAAGCCCGTTCATTGAACTCAAAACATCTTTGTCTTTTCTAATCACTGTCAAACAAACACGCACACACCTATATCTCAATCTAAATTCACATCCACATTAACACTCGCCTACAGCCATACCTTCACACAGATGCACATGTAAACAGACACCCCCAAGCCTCACACATCCACACACATACCCAAACCCTGTAAACCCACCTCCTCCTGACGCCGCTTCAATGCTTCTGCCGCTCTCTCTGCCTTGGACAGGAATTTGGGTCGACTGAGAGCTTCCTCCTCAGCCCTCTTCCGGGCAACCATTTCCTCGAGGGAGAGCGGTTCCTTCTTGATTTTCTTTTCTTTCTCATTGGCTCTGTCCTTTTCATCATCCTGGGGAGAGCGAGAAGGCCAGTGTTATAATACAGGTTGTTGCATAATTCAATCTTGGAGCAATCATTATGACTCTCCTCGTTTTCATCTTTCCACGATTAAGAACCCCAACTCTTATTACCGGACTGATCTTTCTTCTTTTCTTTTTTCTTTTTTTAATCAACACAGCATTCTTTGAGAAAACAATCAGCATGGCTATTTCATAAAAAAGAATGCTTACCTTGTGCCCAGACATTACCTAAAAAATACTGAAATATCACTGTAACTTCTGGATATCTCAACCACCAATGATATACAAAATAATTTGTTGACATTAACACAATAATGCTTACAGACATTCATATTCTCACTACTCATTCTCTGTATTACATCAAGGTAGACAGCACTTGCACTAAACTAACACAAATAGTAGTATTGTCAATCCACACTATGTCCTATACAAAGGTGAATACTTCAGAAAAAGAGCATGTACTCAAAAATATCTATCATATTTACCTTCAGAAGAAAGAACTAACATTTTCAATTAGATATATGTATCACAAAAAAACAGCAAATGAATTTCAACTATTTTAAACCCTTCACATACAGGTCCCCTAATATGATATGCATACCCACTAGCCATCACTTAATTCAATGATCACACCCCATTGTCAAAAATTAACTACGTTCATTTTCGATCTTTCTTAGTCATGCTATGTTCTACAGGCAAATTATGGTTTCTTAAAATGGAGATTTATCCAAAATATATTCAATGGTAGTTGTTGCATGGTTACATTCACACTATCCATGATAGGTTACTACAGACAATTCACACCAATATGCATGATAATCTTCTAACAACACAACTATAATATGAAAAATTAAGTGTAAAGTTGATTATGAAAACTTTAATTTCCTTTCTAAGCATGATGTGAAAGTAATATCTTTTCAGTTGTATAAATTTTAGGCCCTGAATCAGGACAATTCTATGCTGTAATACTAAATCACACATACTACAGTTCTCACAAATGAGTCATACAGCACACTAAAGATACCACTTTGTTTTCCATACTAGTAATACATAAAAGTATTGCAAAGTCTCTGAACCTTCAACAAAAATCAGAGCCTGTGGTTTACCTGTCACCAAATCACTCTGTTTAACAATATATATTTTTTGTTGATAATGGAAGTCTACTTATTTAACTATATTTATTTCTTACCAGTAAGAGAAGCCTGTCTTGTTAGTGTGACCACAAATTTTTCATACCAATAATAAAAACACATTTGTATAGGTGTTACAACTACAAGTGCAAGCACATTTCATCTTGATCCCAACTCGCACAATTCAAATGTTAGTAATAAACAAAGTATGCCTGCTCATCAATTATATCTAAATATAAGCATAGGTATCCAAAATAGGCACCACAATTCTTATTACCTACAACTGATTTTCATCTAAACATCACTTATAATTACACTTGCATGTACAGTACTAGATTACAAGTAAGAGCAATCCTTTTCCTCCTGGATCTCAAGAAAAGCTCTGACATACATACCTCTTCTACTTTGAGCTCCTCTTTGGCTCTGTCTGGCGACCTCTTCCTCTTTTCCCCTCGGTCCTTTTCGCGGTCTCTGTCTCGTCCCTTTTCTCTGTGGGAGGTGTAAGACGAGATTAGGCCTTCAGGAATTTAAAGGGGAAGGGGGTTGAAGGAACAGTATGGTAAGATGTACAAGATCTTAGGCTGATCATAACTTTTCAAAGATGGAGAGAGAAATTAACAGAAAGTAACTCACTTATACAGCATTTTTGATATTTTAAAGCTTTATGTACATATTGAAGTCACTAATAATTCTTTGTAGCTATTAATAAGTCTGTTCGTTTATTATCGATAAATACAAGAATAATCAATAACAACATACCTGTCTCTGTTGCGCTCTCTGTCCCTATCATAATCTCTGTCCCTCTCGCTGGCCCTATCCTTTTCCCTCTCCCGGTAGTGATCCCGGTCCTTGTCTCGATCTCCTCGGTCTCCCCTGTCTCCCCTGTCTCTCTCCCTGTCTCTGTCTCCCCGGTCACGGTCCCGATCGCGATCCCGGTCTCGTCTTTCCTTCTCCTTCCTCTCCTTTCGGTCTCGACGATGGGACCTTAGCCCCGTGTCCTCATCCATGATGGATGTTCTGCAAAAAAAATTGTAACTGTTAAATATGAGAAGAGAAAATTATGAGTAAAAGTATAATAAAAGAAGAAAGAATAGAATCAGAGGATCGTATGAAGGGGGAAAAAAAGAATGTGAGATATGGAAGACAGAAAAATGAGAAAATACTGTAAACTGTGTAGTTTGATTCTTAAAATAGAAGAAATTTATATATATATATATATATAATATATATATATATATATATATATATATATATATATTATATTATATATCTATATATATATATATATATATATATATATAATATATATATATATATATATATATATAATACATAAAAGGCAGGAAGAAAAAAGGAAGAGAAAAAAAGTGTAGAAAAAAATACTTCTTGCAAAGTAAGAAAACATTCTACTTCAAACAAATGAATACAGTATGGACTATAGGTAATACTTCTTGGATACATTAGAAGCTGAATATACTAATACCCTTGTATGAGAACCCAAAATATGTTACAAGCACATTTTTAGAACACAAGAAAACCTTTCCAAAGTCTGGTAACATTTATACATATTGTATGAACAGAAACAAAGAATGCACTCCTTTTTGTTTCTATATGTTGTACAAGGCTAGGTTTAAACCAAAGGAAAAGGAGAAACATTAAATCTTCACAGTAGGAAGTTGAACAGTACAGTTATTTTACATCTCTCCATTATGGTCCAAGTAAAGTTTCATTCAAAACTGCAACAAACAAGAGCTTGGGGTTGTAAA